ATTGTTTTCTTCTTTCTTTTTCACAAAAAAAAATTAAAATTCTAAAATTCTCCTCTTTTTTTCTCCTTCCATCAGTGGCGGATCCAGGGGGTGGCCACCCCGGGCCACGGCCCAGCCCTCCCCTGGATCCGAAACTAGTATAGCCCTTATGAGTTTATCGATTTTAGCCATTTAGCCTAGTGTTTTTTTATAATAAAATTGTCTGTAATTAGGAAAATTGGTAAGATGAACATATTCAAATCAAAACTCTAAATTTAGCCTGAAAATTCTAACTCGAATGATTCTCATATAAAGAAAAGCAAACAATGAAACCTAAAATTCTAAAACGTAAAAGACTAAAAGAAATATGAGGTTTATTCCCTTAAGAAATTAATAGAGCAGCAGTTGAAAATGGGAATTGATACACAATATATATTGATTAGTCGATTGTGTCGACATTTGCGCAACAAAATGAGCGATGAATTTCTCGCCAATTGGTTAACTATTTTATCCTAAAGAGATTATGCTATTGATGTGGATGTGAACTCTATTATTGATGAATTCACTATATTAAAATGTAAAAGATCGACGTGTATAATTGATATTGTAAAGAAACTATTTTCTAATGAAATGCGGCCCAATGTTATACTGTGTCCTAGATCCGCCGCAGTTCCATAAATTAGAAACACTCAATTTTCCCTCCTCTTTTTCTTCCATAAAATTGAAAGAACTAAATTTGAAATTTCCCTCCTCTTTCTCACTTTTTCACTTCCTACAAATCAAAACCACCAAAATTTTTCATTTTTCTTTTCTAAAAAATTCAAAGAACATAATTTCCCTCTTCTTTCTCTTCCCAAAAAGTTGAATACACCAAAATTTTTTATTTTTTTTAAAGCATCAAATTATCAACTACATTGCTTTATTTTATTTTATATTTAATTGATAAATTTAGTGAATAGTTAAATTAAACAATATTTTAATTTATATATTATATTAATATTTTCCATGATCTCATTTATTAATTATGCATTATTAATATTCACATTGTGTTGATTTTATATTTCATATTAAATTTTTTAATTTTGTTAAAGAACTTAGTGTGCAAGTGACATTCATGTTTCAATTTTTGTAATTTTCTTAAAATACATAATATCAAGTGAGTTTCATATTATTAAATTTCCTATACAAAATGAAGAAATAATTTTACATAAGTTTAGAATGAAAAAAATTTATTTTGAAAAACTATGTATTATATAATATAATAATTATTCAAGTGGATTAGGTGAAGTTCGGGTTGAGTCGGTCGGGTTTGGGTCAATCGGGTTTGAGTTAATCGGATTGCGGGTTTAATCAGGTTGCGGGTCAATCGGGTTCGGGTTAATCGGGTTGCGGGTTAGTAGCGTTGTGGGTTAGTCGGGTTGCGGCAATCGGGTTGCGGGTCGGGCGGGTTATGGGTTGTTGACTTTTAGTCAATTCGAGTTGCAGTCTGGTTGCGGGTAGAGTTGATTGAGTGGGTTACTCAGGTCGGGTTCTGTTTTGACACCTTACTCAGAGGTGAAGTAATAGGTTAGAAAGAAAGATGAAAGTCTCTATAGAGTAAGTGAAATATAAGAAATAAATATGCGGAACATTTTTTCAAATCCACGGGAGAACAATCACTCAAGAAACTTGTAATCTATTTTTGCAGCCTTTGTACTAGTTTACATCTCTTACTAGCAAGCATATATAATATTATTGGACTCTAATTATATATGATAATATCACTAGCAATGGTTTATCAGGTGGACCAATTATTGAAAGCGGTGGACATCTTGGAGAAAGAGGTTGACCACTTGATGGAAGTGGTAGACCATTTTTTATATATAGTGGACGACCTTTTAGTGGAAGAGGTCGACCATTTGTTGAACATAGCCAAATGGAAAATAGTACATCTGATCGACCATTCCAACAATGAGGTCGACCATTATGTCCAAATAGGTCGTCCATATCAGAGAAGAGGTCGATCGTTTTGTCCAAATAAGTCGACCATATCAGTGAAGAGGTCAACCGTTTTATCCAAGTTACGGTGACTTGCACAGATTTTTTTATATGGTTTAATCTACGTTAATTTTGATTATTAGTTTTCAACTGTGGATCAGTTGATTAATCTACGTTAATTTTGATTATTAGTTTTCAACAGTTGAAAACTAATAATCAAAATTAACGTAGATTAATCCATATAAAAAAATCTGGGGACATAATTGACATAACATACAAACTACCGGCTTTAATTGATAATGTCTAAAATAGATAAATCGTTCTGCATGATACCTTCATGATTACCCTTATTATACCAACCTACATAATCATTCATAAGCTCCAAAAAAAGTTTTATTTCCAATTTCCAAATCATAGGGGATAAAATTCAAAATTTAGCCACACATGGGGAACTAAACAAATTCCAGGACCAAAATTTGTAGGCACCACCACTCGGCGTTAGGAGTGAACAAACACACCCGTGAATCGACCCTCCCGTTCAATCCAACCCAACTCACGCGTATTTATCTCTAAAATTAAGGTTTTGGGTTGGGTGAGGGTTTTCTTTTGTACAACCCGCTTTTTTTTGGGTTGGGTTTGAACTTTGGATTACGCAACCCGTAGAACCCGACCCAACCCGTGTTCCAACTATTGGTATGAGTTCGTATTCAAAAAATATTTATGTCGCATATAGCCATACTTATGAGAAAATTAAGATATTTTGTCATGTTTTACTCTCATGGTTAGTGGCGTAGCCAGGATTTCGTCTAAGGTGGGTCCACTTAGAAGAAAAGTACACAAGATAAAATAGCTTTTGTTAACTTTGCTAATCATTCATGATATAATTTTATATTGATAATTTTTGGTAAATTAAAATACGTTAGTAGTCGAAACTATCATATTTATCACCCTGTGTACCAAATAATTATTAATGATTTAGTTAGCCGTTCTCTTCGAATGATGTTCTTTGTAAAGAACAATTTAGTATCAACAACTTGAGTTTTTGAGAGAAGTAAAATAATGCATCTTACACAAAATAATAATTTATGATTTAACTAGTCGTTCATTTTCAAATGATGTTCTTTGTTAACAATCGTTTAACATCAACAAATCGAGTTGTTGGAAGTTTCACAAATCGAAATACCATGTGCTTAAGAAATAATGTCGCAAGGACTCAAACACAACACGTTTCGATAAACTATTCTCAATAAGATGCCCCTAATTTTTTGTATCGACTAACTATTGTACTTAATTTAACCATATTCCATCCGAACGGGACCCACCCTCTTATACTCTCCCTCCGCCACTGCTCATGGTCTCTCTAAATTTAATATTGCTAGAATTCACGTAATTCTTTTTTCTTGTGTATAATTTTAATAGAATAACATATTATGGATGCGTTCGTTTACAACCTTTTTAGCCTATTTCAACAAATGTCGTGAAAAAACTAGACATATGTTGAAATAAATCACATTTTATTAAAATTAAAACAACATTTGTGAATTTTGATACCATTCACCTCGGTTTATTCAATTTAAATTTTAATTAGTTATAAAATATTTTTATGGTGTGGAATAATTACATATTTTGTGTTGGGTTGGGTTTTTACTTAAAAATATCGTCAACCCGACCCAACCCAATTAGAAACAAACGTAGGGTTTTAATTTTTTTGGTTGGGTTTTGGTTTAATATTTCTCAAACGGTCTATGGGTCGGATGATTAAAATGGCTAAACCCGAACCACCCGACCCATGTGCACCCATATTATTGGACTCTAATTATATATGATAATATCACTAGCAATGGTTTATCAGGTGGACCAATTATAGAAAGCGGTGGACCTCTTGGAGAAAGAGGTTGACCACTTGATGGAAGTGGTAGACCATTTTTTATGTATAGTGGACGACTTTTTAGTGGAAGAGATCGACCATTTGTTAAACATAGCAAAATGGAACATAGTACATCTGATCGACCATTCCAACAATGAGGTCGACCATTATGTCCAAATAGGTCGTCCATATCATGGAAGAGGTCGATCGTTTTGTCCAAATAAGTCGACCATATCAGTGAAGAGGTCAACCGTTTTGTCCAAGTTACGATGACTTGCAAGTAGGGGAGTTCAAATGGTTACCGTGGTAATAACCAAACCAATTAAGCCTAGATTTCATTAACCGTGGAATAAAATGTCTTAACCAAACCAAAGTTTAATTGGTTTGGTTAATCGGATTAACCAAATAACATAACCATATGTTATTACTTTACTATCATAAACTATCATTATATATAAGCAATAATAATAAGACTAACCATCCATGATTATCATCATCATTCGAGTTAATACATCAATCATCATCCCTGCACCTAATATAGTTAGCTTACAACAAACCCTTAACATAAATATTAAATACATACCAATACTACTAATCAGACAGTTAAAGCTCTCCTACAAAGCACTTAAACTATACATATTTTGAGGTGGCTGTCATGGTAATGTACGTAATCCTAAAGTCTAGTAGCTGTCCAAAATGTTCTGGTTTAGTAAATAGGCATACCCATTTAATTTTTGACGCATAATGTTTTGGTTTGTTGTGCACATGGAAATAAAATAGGGAATCACGAAAGTTTGGTTTGGTTGGTTACATGAAAGTATAAATAATTTTGTATATTAGGTTAGGTATATCATTAATTGGTTAATTGGTTTCATTGGTTAGCAGTGTTGAAACCAAACCAAACCACCTAAACCAAATAAGCAAAAAAAAAAAAATTAAATTAACCAAACCAATTATCCAAATTAACCGAATGCTACAGATTAATATGGTTATCACGATAACCAATCCGTTTGAACACCCCTACTTGCAAGTCACCGTATCCACAGTTGAAAACTAATAATCAAAATTAACGTAGGTGAAACCATATAACAAAATCTGGGGACATAATTGACATAACATACAAACTACCGGCTTTTTATTGATAATGTCTAAAATAGATAAATCGTTCTGCATGATACCTTCTTAATTAGCCTTATTATACCAAGCTACATAATCAGTCATAAGCTCCAGAGGAAGTTTTATTTCCAATTTCCAAATCATAGGGGATATAATTGAACATTTAGCCACACATGGGGAACTAAACAAATTCCAGGACCAAAATTTGGAGGCACCACCACTCGGCGCCAGCGAGGACGGATGCTGATGGATCAGAAGTTCCAACGGCGGAGGAATGGAATGACGAAGAACTTCATCTTCCCAATATTGCAATGGATTCCGTTAGCCTCGCCGCAGGCAAAGAAGTAAGGCTGCCACTTGTCCATCACGAACTCGAACCCTTCGCCGGCGCCGTCGGTCCAGTTGGCCAGCATCTTCCCCTTGCTGACGTCGCACCTCAGGAAGCTCCGCAGGTCCGGCAGCTGGTACACGCTGTGCGGCCGCGAACTGTTGTCTGCCGGCATCTCGTACTTAAACACTGCCCAAAAAATTACAACCATTATTTTTAACAGAATCACAAAAGCCACTAAAATTGGTAAAAGTAGGGTGGTTTGATTTTTACCTAAAGTGTCGTTGACGAAGAAGGGACCGTTGCGAATGGCCCAATTGGTGTAGTCAAAGCCAAACTGCCAACTCGTCTGGTTTCCGCCCACCACCACCTTCCGGGGGCTGTAGTGATCCTCCACCGGCCGGTGCCTTGGGAACCCGCCGCCACCCCAGCCACCGTTGTTTCCGCCGCCGTATCCCCAATCTTTGTTGGCCGCTGCCAGCCCGGTGGTGGTCAGCAGAAGGAACATTGCAATTACTGGTGCACTAGTCATTGGTGGCCAAATCGAAATCACAAAGCTGGTTTATGGTGGTGATGTGATTAGCTAGAGCTAGTTAGTTACGATGAGTAGCTGTGGAATTGCAAGGGGAGAGTTGTGTGTATATATAGTGAAGTGATTAAGGAAATCACTGTACATACAATTAGTGGCCAAGTGCCAAATTTTTGTTGGGTAGGCAAAGGGGTTTGAAACATTCGTCCGAAATAAATTTTGTGTTTAATTTTGTTGATGATGGGAGGTAAATTTCCAATTGGATACATAATCATGAGATCTATTCTTCAAGTCCACCCACAAATCCATTAATTGGCCAACTTGTTCGCTCAGTCTTTGCTTTTTCCTTCCCTGCGCACACAAGCTTGTAATCCTGGAAGCATTAGTTCACACTGGGCTGAAGAAATATTTTGAGTTTGATTTCCCACAAGACAAAAAAATCCAAAGGGGTAAACGGGGGAATAATTGTTAGGTCCATGGTAGAGATGATCACCAAAATGAGGTGAGAATTGGGCAAGCAGACCCAACATGAGGTGGCCCGCGCTTTTTGGCCCAGATAAAGGATGAACCAATCTGCGGGTTGAACCGGACCCGGTCGAGCTAGTGGGTCAAGGGTTAATGGGTCACCCGTTTTAGCCCGGTTTAGCCCGAAAATATAGAAATAGTCATTATATTGTACTTATCCTGATAAATTATATCAAATCTCAGCTAACATATGAGTTATAACATATAATATTCCACCAAAATAACATGTCGTACTTGGATCCAACATATAGTGAAAATTTTCAGACACTTATATAGCATCAATATTCAAATGTTCAACTAAGAGTTCCAAAGATTGAGTTAGGCGAAAAGAAAAATCGAAAAATAGGCACATTTCACAAACCAAAGAAAAAAATGACACAATTTGACCTACAACCCAGTACCTTGTAGTGGTCGACCCGGCGGGTGTGTACGACCCGTTTTTCTCACCGGGTCAGGGTCAAAGTGGGTTGACCCACGGGTCGACCTGCGGGTTGGCAACCTTGGGATGAACTTAGATAGTTAGACTTGGGTTCCCTTGATCTCGTCAATCGGGTGAAAGAGAAAAGATAAATTCATACCTAAGCCTCGGGAACAAGGAATGATGTCATACAATATTAGGGATGGCAAATTATCCACCCATGGGTAATTATACCCAAATCCAAGTAGACCCATTGATAATGGGTTGGGTATGGGTGATGTGCATATGGATTTGGGGGTTTATAGATGGGTTTGGGTTTGGGGCTTCCATACTCTAAATGGGTATGGGTTGGATATGGATATCCATTTACTTGAGGGTGTTTTAACTACACATGCAAAAATTGGACCTATTTGCAAAAGTTGAAAAGTTTAGGTACCAAAATGTAAGACCAAAAAAATTTAGGTACCAAAACGTAATTTTCCATCGATATTTTGAGGACTTATATGCAAAAAAAAATTAAATTTAGGTACTAAATATGCATGTCTATTAAGTTTGGGTACCAAACTGTAATTTGTATTTGGGCATGGGTACAAACCCAAATCCATTTGATATAAACCCAACTCAACCCAAAGTAAATGGGTATGGGTACAAACCCATCAAACTCTACCCATATCCATCTATTTGGATTTCAAACCCAACCCAATTGGGTTGGATAGTAAGAAACCCATGGGTATGGGCAAAGTTGCCATCCCTATACAATATTGTTTGAGGTATGCAATTAAATCAAATCAAATCAAACCATCAATATAAGGAGGTTCTCTTCCAGAACCCCCTTAAATTCCTTTTTCCTGTGCAAAGCACGGAATGACATTTGGGTCTATTATAGGGTTTGGGCGGATCGGGGACAGGTTCCTTTGATCGTGTTGCAGAAAAAGGCAGAGTGAAACTCCATCCTCGAATGAGCCTCCAAAGGTTTTGAATATGCTATTGCAAGCACATACTTCAATAGAGCGTCTTTTTTTGGAACAAATCTGAGATTATAATGAGGTCTTCGCATTAATTTCTATTGGAGGTAATCTGGATTGATCTACAAATGATGGACGCTGAGTATATGTTTATTCGATTGGAGGTCAAGTATATCATCGAATTGATAGCCATCAACCTACTGAAAGGAACATACCGAAATTTGTTGAACTCTGCATTATGACATTGGCGGTGAACCTTAAAACCAATCAGACTTTAATTTGTCTCCATAGTGTCAGTTTCACTCTTTTGTGCAACTCAATTATTCAACAATTGCAGGAGATGTTAAGTCTGGGATAGATTGAATATCACCATTATTCAACAAGTTGGAAATAACTTGCTTCTTAAAAGAGAAGGGGACGGTAGAGAATATGATGTACCATCCTCAAATGAAGTCGTTGCTTTAATTGTTGATGATATTGGGGAGCAAAAAATTTATCCTAATATTGTTATCCGATATCAAAGTCATGAACTGGAACACATTGGTATATATCATCCAAGTTTATGCCTTTATAATATCCCACATTATTCCCACATGGTGAGGAAGGTTGCACCCGAATTTTCCATATTCTATCAATGAGGAAACGGATGGACTCAATGAAGAGAATGTAACTCAATGTAATTTTTACAGTTAGACTCCATATGAAACCGGAAGAATCAAATGCATTGTTATTGCTATTGTTGGAAAGTTTTTCCAACAATACTTTGTTAATGCATTGGTTGAGGTGAGTATTTGGATTGAAAACAACCAAATAAAGTTTTTTTAGAACAATCAACTATAGTTGCCACAACATTAGTACCTAATAGAGATGGTATCTTCACAAGAGTTTTCAAGCTCAAGCTTAATTGCTGAAGGAGATTTTGGAGAATAATAATTAGTATTATCATTATTCCACAGTTTTACTTTAAGCATCCTTAATTCATGTTTTTTTGGTAATTATTATTTTTCTATTGAGATTATTATTGATAATTTCTTTCATTTAGATGTAATTGCAATCAAATTCAAAAATGTGATCAACTCTATGCTCATTTGTATATTAGTTTTTCTAACTACGGAAGATAAATTATATGATCCTTCAAAAATAGATTCATTTGTATAATATGCAGTCACACAGTATGGAACTGTGGCAATGGCTATGAGAATTCGAGAAATCGCTAGGCGCAAGGCGAGCGTTGAGACTTTGTCTTGCGCCTAGCATGCTTAGGCGTCGCTTAGGCGTGCCTAAGCATTAGATGTAAACGTAGTCTAATATCTCCCACGTGCTTAGAATCACAAGTTTTAAAACCAAATATCATCACATCTACCTCTCATTTCTAAACTTTCATCAACAACACATGGTGAAACATAAACATACTGTTGAGAAATGAGTAAGAAAGAAGAAGCTGAAAAATAGCAAAGCATATTGAGACGAAGAAGCGCAAAAAAGAAAGAAGGAGCTAATCTAAAGATCGTCGTCTCTAACTATATCCTAGCATAACTAAAGAGTATTCAAGACAGTCCTCTCTAGTAGCATATCAAAAGGTAGAAAAAGACATCGTGACATCATTTTGAGGCACAACTCAATGTTGACTAGATGCTATCGAGGACACCACATGGTTGTGACTCCTTCTCCACTGGTTTTTGCCAAGGGGGGGCATTTTCTTTCTGACTTGCGCCTAGGCGAGATTAGGTGAGTGCCTAGGCGCACTTTTTAGAACCCTGTCTATGAATATGGAGATTCTGATAAATTATTTTGGGGTTTAGAACCCCCTATTACCTTAGAGGACTACTCCATAACGGAGGGAAGAAGATACATAGAATAGATGGAAGAAGACTTGATGTTGAGGAAGAGGCCTCCGCTCTTCTAGCTCCTTCTCCTTCTTCTCATCTTCTCCTTCCTTCAGCTTCTCTCTCTTCTCTCTCTATAAAACCAGAAAATCCTCTCTCAAAAGGGGAAAAGAAGTCTATTTATAGGCAATATAGGATAGAGAAGTTCGTGTCCGAAAGGGCAAAGATCGTGGGCGGGATCTTCAAAGGTTAGGCCGCGATCTTGAAATGCATTCGTGCTGGCCTTCGGGATTGAGGAGATCCCGGGCTGACTTTGCGCTCGTGACGCGCGAGTCGCGTCCGCGATCTTCCTCGCAGTCAAAATGCACTGTGGCCGTGATTCGACTGGGGAAACTTTATGTTTCTCCTCGACTCCTTCTTCGCGAAGTTCGCGCCCTGAGCCCTCCAATTCGCAGCCGCGATCTTCGCCTTGATTTCGCGGTCCATGATCTCAGTCGTGATCTTCTCTTCTAGGCCACGATTTCTAGTCTTCTGCCCTCTTGCTACACTTGTGACCTTGTTTTGTACCTAATTCGCAATTATTGTCTAACATGCCCTAAAATCACATCAAATTCAAATATGAATGAAATATGGAGGCGATTGATGATGTTCAAGCAATTTGGCATATGAATTGGCACAAAACAAACCTCAATATGAAGGGTAAATAACACCAATTTAGGTGTTATCAAACTCCCCTACACTTAGGCGTTTGCTTGTCCCCAAGCAAATCTACTCAAACCTAATGTAACATGATAGACAAATCAATAGGGAATGCACTCTAGTTCTTCATTGCATAAAGAACAGTAGACAGAGATGAATGAATGTTACTATTATCTTACTGTGCAAACACAAACTCTCGGGTGAGGATCGTACCTACTACCATAGACTGAACATTTAAAGTGTGCTCCGGGGGATTCTCAAACAACAAAATAAGCACGAGAACTCTCGAAGGTGCTCTTTATTCTTTCTTACGATTAGGAGTTGTCGTTTACCGGTCTCCTTTTTCAACGTTGACGGGCATTGCACCAAGCTTTTGTAATTATTTTGCAAACAAGCATCTCACCCTCACGAACAAGATCAGATGAATCATATCATTCCCTTTCAAGTTCATATGTGGGGAAGTTGATGGGCAGATTCGTCTTAGCCCGAGCACCACTTCCCAGTTTGCACTCCACATTGGGTTGCCACATATGTCGGGTACAAACGAGAGATTTGAGGTCTCATGAATTGCTAAAAGGTACTTTGGACCTTGTCATACAATTCCGTGAGGTGAATGATACTTGGGGGATGGTAAGTAGTGAGAGTCTGAGAGATGG